ACTAGACCCCTCTCGATTGTCTAGAGAAAAACGCCTGACTAAAACACGAAGGAAATTACTAGATTCGAACCAAATTAAAGTTTACTTATTTGATACTTGATTGAAGGAACGAATTATTGAAAACATAACCGAAGGTGAAGTAGGTAGAGACCACTATTTGCCTCATAGGCCTGTTTTTGAAGAATCTAGTAAAACTACATGACTAAGACCAGTTTTTGATGCTTCGGCACATGCCAAAGGAGCACTTTCCTTAAATGACTGTCTTGAAAAAGATCCGAACCTAATAGAAATAATTCCAACATTGATGAATCGTTTTCAGAAATATCCTACTGCAGTAATTTCAGACATTGAGAAAGCCTTGTTGCAGATTGGTATAAGAGAGAAGAATAGAGATTATTTACGTTTCTTGTGGAAAGGTGCAGAAGGAGAGAAAACGAAAATTTATAGACATTGTCGCATGGTTTTTGGGCTTAACTGTAGTCCGTTTTTGTTTTTTTGCTGTTGCTTCTTTTTTGCTGTTGTCAAGAGCAACAACAACGAATTTGAAGCTTCCGAAAATAAATTTGATTGAATTTACAGGTGATCCACGAACAACGTTTGAATTTTTAGAATACTCTTAGTAAGGTACACAAAGATCCATTTCTAGATGATCATTTGAAATTCATATATCTGATCCAGGCTACTGCTGCCAAATCGAAAGCACGGGAAATAGTGCAGAGTTTTCCGACAAATAAAGAAAATTATCCGAAAGTCATCGAAGATTTAAAGACCTGTTTTGGACGTGAAGGTATTCTTATACAAGTGTACGTTTGGGATTTATTGAATCTTGTGTTGATAAATAATAGTGCAACCAAAAAAGACTTTATGCTATCATCGTTGTATGACAGTTTGGAAACCAAACTTAAACTAGATAAACTTAAACCCCAACATCTGGAATCCCTTGGTGTGACTGAGGATAAATACGCTAGTGTTATTTTTCCGTTAGCTGAATCTTGCCTGCCCCCCCCAACATCTTATGCGTGTGGGAGATGGAATGGTAGAGCTCGTCACAACAAGGTAAGAGCGATCTTGAATCTATTCTTCTGTTTTTGAAAAATATCTGAAGAGAGAATTAAATTAGCGCGTTTTTCTTTTGATAAAAGTAGAAAATCTAAAAGTTGCATTAATGAGTCTAATATTCCTACTTGTAATTATTTGTATACAGGAGATAAATTTAAAGAAAATGCTCCTATTAAGAAAGTTGAGGAATCTTGTTTATTTTGTGATAAACCACATTTAAGAGAAAAATGTTTTAAAGCTAGCACACTTACATATCAGGATAAAAAAGATTTCATATTTAAGAAGGGTGAGTGTTTACTTTGTTTGAAGGAAAATCACATTTCTCGTAGCTGTAAGTCCAAGGTTAAGTGTTTAATCTGCCAGAAAAGGCATTTGGCAGTAATGTGTCAAGAAGTTCCTTCTCAATTGAGAGACTAAACAAACAGAACCCTAGGCGAAAAATGAGGTCAATGTTTTGGCTAGCAGATCCGCAAGCTCCGATGTTTTATTACAAATATTAATCGTAAGGGTAAAAAATGGCGCCAGGGAAAGGATAGCGAGAGGGATTATTGATATGGGTTGCGAGAGAAGTTATTTAACAAAAGATATTACAGTTTCTTTGAAATGTAACAGTGTTGGTGAAGTGAAATTAGTTCATAAATTATTCGGAGGTGTAGAAACAAAAGAAAAATTGCATTCTAAATATCTAGTTTATTTGAGTAGCCTTGATAATAAATATATATGTAGTGTGCATTATTTAAGTGAATCTGTTCTGATGTAAAGAAAATACCTAAAGGTCCTTGGTTGAAAGAACTTTGTAAATTAAATATTCAGGTGTCAGACATAGAGGGTAATACTCCCAAAAATGAAAGTGACATTAAATTGTTGATAGGTTCTGATATTGCTGGAAAATTATTCACCGGAAATATTAAATGTTTAAAAAGTGGTCCGGTCATGATGGAAACACGTTTTGGATGGATTTTAATGCGTAAAATTCCAGCAAAGGAATCTTCTGGTATAAATGATTCTCTTGCATGCGTTTCTTTATTGCTAAATGAAAGATCAGCAGAAAACACGTGGAAGTTAGACGTTATTGGTATAAGTGGCTCAGTTGAGTCTCAAAAGAAAGCTGAAATTCATGAGGAGACCATGCACTATTTTGAGGAAAATTTGAGTTTGGATTCAGATGGGAGATATGAAACTGCATTGTTTTGGGTACTGGACCCCTCTCGATTGTCTAGAGAAAAACGCCTGACTAAAACACGAAGGAAATTATTAGATTCGAAGAAAATTAAAGTTTACTTATTTGATACTTGATTGAAGGAACGAATTATTGAAAACATAACCGAAGGTGAAGTAGGTAGAGACCACTATTTGCCTCATAGGCCTGTTTTTGAAGAATCTAGTAAAACTACATGAGTAAGACCAGTTTTTGATGCTTCGGCACATGCCAAAGGAGCACTTTCCTTAAATGACTGTCTTGAAAAAGATCCGAACCTAATAGAAATAATTCCAACATTGATGAATCGTTTTCAGAAATATCCTACTGCAGTAATTTCAGACATTGAGAAAGCCTTGTTGCAGATTGGTATAAGAGAGAAGAATAGAGATTATTTATGTTTCTTGTGGAAAGGTGCAGAAGGAGAGAAAACGAAAATTTATAGACATTGTCGCATGGTTTTTGGGCTTAATTGTAGTCCGTTTTTGTTAGCCGCTATGTTAAACTATCATTTAAATCGTTCTCCAGATCAGTTTGCAGCTACAGCCAATATTTTGAAGGAGTGCTTCTATGATGATAATTGTCTGACTAGTTTTAAGAATGTTGAAGAATTTAATAGATTTGTACTACAATCGAGAATGTTATTGTCAGTGGCAAAGTTTAATCTTAGAGGATGGCAGTCAAATTGTGAAACCGAAATAGTTTACAACTCTAAATTAGATACACTCGTTTGTGTTTTAGGATTAAGCTGGGATTTGACGAATGATACTCTTTTCTGTAAAATTGTGTCACTAAAGAAAGAGAAGATTATCACGAGTAAATAAACACTTCTTTCTTGTGCACATAAGTTATTTGACCCAGTAGGCTTCATTTCTCCCAATACCCTGTTCCCTACGTTGATATTGCAAGAGTGCTGGAAATTACACTTAAATTGGGATAAAAAATTGCTCGAACATTTAGAAAAGAAGTCCTTGAAATGGGTAAAAGAACTGAAACTGCTGTCTGATGTCAAAATTCGTAGATGGCTGAATATTGACAGATCGGTTAACGAAGATGTGAGTCTTCATATTTTCAGTGATGCCAGCAAGCATGCCTGAATTTTCTTAAGAGTGAAGAAAAAGGTTTACCTAAATTTTGTGCAAGCACGCACTAGAGTTGCACCTTTAAAGAATACATCTATTCCTCATTTGGAATTATTGTCCTGCTCAATCGGAGTACGGTTGGGACGTGTGGTCTTTTCAGATTTGAACATGCCAAATTTAAGAACGTTCTTCTCGACTGACTCAACAACTGCTTTGTGCTTGATCCAGCGAGACGTACGATGGGGAACTTTCGTTTGGAACTGTGTCCAAGAAATCAGAACACTTTCAAAAATAGAAGTTTGGCAATACATCCCTTTGGAGCTGAATGCAGCCGATCTTCCTTCTAGAGGCTGTTCAGTTAAACAGTTTTTACTGTCAAAATGGTGGGACGGCACATCATGGCTGTTAGAACCAGAATCGTCATGGTCAAAAAGCCCCGATTTGCCAGATGAAGAGATCATAAATTCAGAAAGACGTAACTCAGTATTGACAGCTCTTAACAAAGATTCTAAACCTGACAATTGGTATAACAGGTACTTTTCATCTATAAAGAAAATTGTACACATGTTAGGTTGGATTCTTAGGTTTTACTTTTAATTGCGAAGAATTACAAATGAAACCTCCAAAATTTTGTCAGTTTCGGAAAATGAAAGAGCTGAGATAACTCTCATGTTATTGATTCAAAGAGAATGATTTAAGGGTGTGAACGATGATAAAATTTAAGACTTCAGACCTATAGTTGATCGTGATGGTTTGATCACATTTTAACCTCTCCAGGCAGGTGAAATTGTTCTATTGGAAGATAACAAGAAACATGCTTTTTGGAACCTGGTGCATGTGGTAAAGCTGATACCAGGTCGTGATGGGCAAATAAGACTTGCTCTCATGAAAACAGAGACTTCAGAATTTCTAAGACCAGTACAAAGACTGTACAGACTTGAGCTGGATAATCCAGTCCAAAAGGATATGACTGAAAATATTCTTATGACTACCAGCAGTGGTAAAACTGTGAAACCAGTGATATGTCTATGAAATGTTTTGTATTTGTTTGAATACTTTTTATAATAATTTGATTTATTTTTTATTGTTCTATGTTTAGTATTATCTGTTAGTATGTCTAGAAAATTATGGAATGCTGCATCTCCAGGTAATTCGTATTTCAATTTAATTAGAACATCTTCGTAGGCATAATTTTATACTGTACTATTATGCATATTGTACTTAACAGATGTTTGAATTTACCTCCCAGTAAATTCACGTGGGAGGAATATGTAGCAAATAGTTTATCCAACAGATGGCAGTATCTACCAAGTTCCTTTGGTAATTGACAATGCGTATACGCAACCTGAGTGTAGGAAAAAGTATGTTATTAGACAAGGAGCTTTCGTTAAGAATGCTGCTGCGCACTTTTGCTGTGTAAATAAAAGTATATTTTTGTAGCGCGGATGTTCTTTACTGTCTAATACGAAGCACTAGGTTAGTGCATGAATCTCAGCTGATTCAAAATCCATTTTCAAAACGTGGATCACCACAGGCACATCTCATTTTCTTCCTATCTGATTTTAATGAATATTAATTACTTTCATTTTTGCACATTTACTTGTAACAGATTACTAATGATTATATTATGCTATCATGCAGAGAAAATTAAAGGACTAATAAAAGAAAAATGTTCTTTATTAACAGACATAATATGACAAGATATTCATTATATGAAAGACATTTTTCATTAAAAACTGGCTTTTTGCTTAGTCCTTAACATATTGCCATCATACAGAGAAAAATTCAAGGACTAATAAAACAAAAATGTACATGAAATAGAACACATATAAAATAAAATCAATTTAATCAGGGGTGATTGGGACCTCATTAAAAAAGTCCTGAAAACTACAGAAGTGTAAAAAATCTGATATAGTTTTAGATAACTCTGAATATTCCCATGTTACATATACATACAACATTTTCAAACAATTTCATTATGAAACAGAAGTATAATTTTACAAATTTAGTAAAAATTAATTTATGTTTCACTACATTATTTCACAAAGTTATTTACCTTTCCGATTTCTCAAAAATTTAAACAATAATAGCTTAATTTATCTTGACTTTTTGGGGAGGTTCAAGTCATGAAAATTGCTGCATTTATATTTTCTTAATTAACAGATATAACATAACAAGATAGACATTACATGCAATATATTTTGCAGTAAACACTGGGTTTTTGCTTAGTCCTTAGTATATTAGATTAGAAGCTGAAGTATGCATATTAGCAAGTGTTGGAGATGAGGAACACCTAAAAGAAAGTTAACAGTTCATGAAAAATTGAGAATGCTGGTCTTCAGAGGGATTTTTCTAAACCAAAAATTTCATATGTATTTTTGTTTAAAGAGAATAAATAATATTTCACAGCTTGCCAGTATCTAGGCTATCAATTTTGAAAAATAATATGCAGTCTATCTAAATATTACTTCTATAATTAAATTCACTTTAAACATTGGGTCTATGGAAGCAAGTTAAAAAAGAAATTTAATCAGTTTGCTGATGCATTCAATGACAGCATTTGTTTTCCACCTTTTTTCAGTCTGAATACTTCAGCCTTAAAGTTCGCTATTTCTGCAAGACAAATGTCTTAAATTTATGTTATCTCTGAATCATTGTTATCACTTGTTTTGAACAAAATTTAAGAAAAGTGATGAATCTATATTTTATAAATCTGGAAATTCCAGATTTTGGTTAAAAAAAAAAAAAAAAAAAAAAAAAAAAAAAAAAAAAGAAAGAGGAATTCCGGCTGTATCTTGACCAAACTACTCCTGTTTAAGCCACTCATGACCATTGTCCCATATTGAAAACAGAACGATTTATTTGAATTTTTAAATGCCAGTAGATGGCACTAAATGGTAATGGTTTTCACATCAGTTGAGTCATACATCTCTTCACCTTTGTGTATGGGCATCAGTTTCTGTTCTGTGCTTCTGGTTTTGATAGATTTGTTGGTGTAAAACAAACTGGGAATCACAGCTCCTTAAGTTAAAGGGACATCAACGTTTTTGCTTATTTCATTAGGAATTTCATTTCTTTTCTTTTTTTGCTGTTGTTTTTGCTCCTGTTCTTTGCTTTTTTGTTATTAGAATGTGGGGAAGTGCATCCCGCTCAATGTTTTCATTTATGATATTTGCTTTGCTTTTTGTTAGGAGAATGCGAGAAAATGCATTTAGCTGACTATAGCAGGCTTCCGTGATGGAAAAACTCGGACCAGTTACCCTTTCTTATCTTTATTTTAAAACTTAACATAGGCTTTCTTATTTAATTAAAAAGTAACATTATAGCATTATTACAGAAAGGAATCTAAATGATGTGTTGTATTTGCTTGGCAGTTCTCAGAAAAAAGCTATCTTTGCCCTGAGTATCAATCCTCATTTTGAATTATTCCACACACAGCAGAATTTTTAAACTGAAATTTAATTACCGTATTTGATGGCATATAAGACACACTTTTTTTCTTAAATTTGGTCTCAAAAACGTTACCTGCGTCTTATATGTGAAGGTAATTGCATTCAATAATTGTTTATTTGGCTTTTACGAAACGTGAGAACTAAAAGAAACCACACTATTGAAACTTTTTTCCTTGTGTGTGGCCGTCTAAATAAGGGTGCGTCTTATATGCCGTCAAATACGGTACTTACAGATAATTATTGCTCAGTTTCTTTAACATTTTGCATTTATAATTTTGTTTTTATGTATATAGGTATAATTTTAGTATTTTCACGTTTTTCATTTATTTTTTATTAATGTGAGATTCTTTATATTAATATATATTAAAATTAGTATATTAAATAAGTAACTTTAAAAACTGAGGTCATTAAATTAAAATGCTGATTTTATATGAATTTTTTTGGGATGAGGGTTCGGTCCCGTGACTGAACTTCGTTCTCTGCATGCTGGTCCTCAAGTACGTGGCTATTATTTTAAACACTTTGTATTTCTGGTATTTTGCTCAATTTATTTGTGATAATATTTTAACATTTAGCAACATAACAGAAATAGTTATCAGACATGTTTCAGAAAGAGCTAAACTAATTTGCAAAACATTTGCTATTCTAGTAGCTTATAGAAGCATACAGCTTTTTTTTTATGGAGTACCCTGACTATCCAAGCATTCAACTAACCAGAAAGCATATGAAGTACTTTAGAATTTTACAAAAATTTTTTCTTCTGAAAAAATTAAGTAAGTGAGAGATTTATAACAATATTATGAAGCTTGTTGTCATAAAACAGTGCATTTTAATGTTAAAAATGGATAAGCAGGATTAAAGAATTAAAGATTTTCCCCCTCTCCTGTCTTGGGTTGTCAGTGGTCATTTACATATGCTCTTCTTTTCAAACGTTTTATGCCAGTAATTTTCCTCATGCATGCATTGTTCCAACTCTGTTTATAATTTTTCAATGTATCAATCAATTTCTGCAAAGAAAAAAAATGGGTGCTGCCATTCGAAAATTTCAATACATTTTCACTGTAACCATAACTGTAAGAGCTATATTGTTTTAAATCAACACAATCTTGAGCGCATATCTTCAAATAACAATACGTGCTATTTTATTTCTATTGCTTGAGCAAACAGGCCAATATGGATCCATATATTGTGAAAGTTTTTCTAATGACCACCACGTATATACACACACACACACACACACACACACATATATATATATATATATATAAAACTTTTTGCCACACCTTCCTTTGAATTTAATAAAAAGTCAAAACAGACTTACCAAAATTTGGTAGAGAAATCAGCTTTCCAGTTTTTGTTGGATATGATCCAGTGAACATTTTAGGAATGATAGATTTGCTGAGTAATAATTTCAGCTGTTTCTTCATTCCTTTAATTTGGCGACACTTGGCAGCACACTCTCTTTCATCACCGAGATCATTCAATCTTAGAAAAACCTAATTAAGGATATAATTTTCCTATACCAAATAGCACACTCACTTATAATGCCACAATGCAGCAACAGGTATGAATGAAAAATATGGATAGTAAAATATCATGCAATTTATACTACTTTTTTACAGATATACTTTGCTATTTATTTCGTTGAGATATATTATTAACTGAGATAATTCAATCAACCTGAAATGCAAATTAAAAAGTTATTAATTTTATATGATAAGTTAAACAATACTAAAATCTGCTTATATATAAAACAACCTGAATTTGAGATTTTTTATTATACACAATCAAAAGCTTAAATTATTAAAATATAACCTATAATTCTTAGACTATAACAAAGAATTTTATCTGACAGTTTAGTAGTGAACTGTTTTACTTTTAATCTCTAATTCCTAATGTATAAGATTTTAATATCCAAATTGCTTTACAATACTCTTTATATAAAATTTATGGTCCACGATTGAATAATTAATTATACTCACCTAAGAAAATATGAACTAGATTAGCAATTCCAATCAAACAAACTGTGAAAATTTTAAGCATGGCATTGTTTGAAGTTTTAAGTTATACATGAGGCATTGTGAGCTACAACATTGTTGTTTCATATGGCTTTTTTAGAAATCAATCCATTTACACCAGGGTGAAAAAAAGGATCAAAATTACATCACGAAAATGTTAAAAACATTAAGAATTAGAACACTAAAATCTTTACAGAGCAGACCAAAAAATTAAGACATAAAAATTTCACAATTAAAATCTTAAAATGTCCTCAGTGATTAGAGGCGAAACTACTGAGTGATAAGATCCCTGGCCATCCAATACAGTTGGAGAACATCACCACTATGTTGTAATTTAGGGTCAAGGTTCGGACAGCTGAGCAAAGGCTGCTTATTCATAGTGTCTGATAACATTGGCTATCAGTCAGTATGCCTATTCTGCTGTGATGTTTGGTTAAGCAGTTGTGCCATGCACACAGTCTGAAATTAGCCACAGCCTCTCTACATAGCCTGCGACTGAACTCATTCCAGGCATTCTCCCAGAGTTTACCATTTGATTTAATTGATAGTTCTCTGTTGTAAGCTGACATTAGATTCTCTCAAATACTTCTAAGGGAATTCAAAGGAATGGAAGTCTGTTCAATAAATAATTCCATACCCCTCTTTTCCAAGAGATCTGCTTTAATTTACCATCAATATCTATGTTAAGCAGTCATGTCCTGCACAGAGTTTGAAATTAACCACAGCCTCTCTCTCTACGTGGCCTGCGACTGATAGTTCTGTATTTTCTCTCAAATACTTCTTCTAAGGGAATACAAAGGAATGGAACTCTGTTCAATAAATAATTCCATACCTCTCTTTGACTAGAGATCTGCTTTTCATTACCATCAATATCTATGTTAAGTAGTTATGCATTGCACACAGTCTGAAATTAGCCACAGCCACTCTACATGGCCTCCGACTAAACTCATTTCAGGCATTCCCCCAGAGTTTACCATTTCATTTAATTGATAGTTCTGTGTTGTAAGCTGACATAAGATTCTCTCGAATACTTCTTCTAAGGAAATCTAAAGGAATGGAACTCTGTTCAATAAATAATTCCATACCCCTCACCATCAATATCTATATGGGATGGTATCAAATCAAATTCTACTGTTTTATCTTTCCTATTTAGCTCCCTGGCATCTAGTTTTATTTTTGACACAACAGGAAGCTCAGAGCAGTGTTGGAGAGCTATTGCCTCTATGGCCAACTTAGAATCAACAAGAACGATGGCCTTTGTAAAAAAACTCTATTCTAGATTTCATATTAGACACAGCCAAAAAGATCACATAAACTTCTGCATCAAAGTTTTAAAAATGTTCTCCCACTGGGGCATACCGTGAAAGCAGTTTACAATATACACCTGAGCCAGCAGTATTATTTGTTCTAGAGCCATCTGCAAATACACATATCCATTCTGATTCAGAATAGTTATTGCCCAATAGTGACAAGGCATTTGTTTTTAGAATAATAACTAGTGAGGCATTTTTTCTATTTTCACCCAGTTTTAGATTATAGGGTATCTAAAACTGGGTGAAAAGTATCTAAAACTTAGTATCCAAAAACTCCAGTAGGTCTACAAGTATATTAGTATTTTCAACGGGAATACTGAGGTTTAAATTGTCCAAAAAGCCTTTACAAATCTCAAATGGAAAAATCTGAGTTCTGAGTATGCCCACCTATCTATTTTGCATCCAATTTGCCTGCCGAGATGAGTTCAAGCTAGCAATTGTATAAACTGCCTGTTTCTTTATCTCAATAGCAATGGGAGGGTTTGAAGTACAGAACTGTAAAGGTGCTATTGGAGTTGACACTACTGCTCCTGTGATCAAGCCGAAAGCTTTACTCTGGGCTCTCTCCACGACTTCCAACTTGGTCTGTATAGCTGAAACCAGAATTTCACTGGCATATTTAAGAACTGGTTTTATATAGGTGTTGTAAGTGAGATTTAGAGTGTCCTGGATACAGCCCCATTTTGCACTGGACAGTCTCTTTAAGATAGGCAATCTTTTTTCAAAACTAATCACAAAATGTCTAATATGCTCCAAAAAAATTTAACTTAATGTCAATTATAACCTCAAGGTATTTTGTCCTGCAACTTAGTTTTGTGTTATTCAAATACAGATCAAAGTCAGGTTCTAAAAAACGGACACATTGTTTTTGATATATTGATGATCATGTGATTGTCCACTGTCCAACACTGAAGGGTCATATTACTCTCAAGTTGCTGTTTCTGCTTTTGATAGTGTGAACTACAACATTTCTGACATTAGAACAGTCACAGAATAAAAGGTTAGGCACTCAGGATGAGAGAAAACAATAAAAAGTTCATGACAGAAATCATTACAACAAAATATATAAAAACATTACTGAGAGTTCAACACTATAGCTGCTGAATAATTCAATAAAACTGTACATTTAATTATAATATTTAAACAGTATATCCTAAAATGTGGTACTTGCCTATTACCCCGTAGAGCATGAAACTGTCATCAGGTGGCACGATTTAGAGCCAGTCATGAATAAGCATGATGTAACATAACATCTGAGCTTTTGTCTGACGTAACCTCAAATGATTCTTACTACGCCACCTTTCGTTTTATGAACAGGGAAATAAATCAGTTATTATTGCAGTATTTTTTCTTGCATTTAGAAAGGTAATGAACTTGAAGGCTGCAGAATAACATTTGTGACTGCATTCCAATTCATTTATAGCAGATCAAGAGAATTAATACCTATTAAATGGAAAAAAGAACAGTTGGATATGATCAACAAAAGAGTAATAGATTGGAATAATTACCTGCAGGAAGTTTGCCTTCAAAGCATTCCAAACAGAGCTTCTGGTAAAATCGAAAGGCTTAATAAAATAGTAGACAGACGAAAGCCTTTTTTACAAAGAACTAAAATGTGGGTCAAATACTCAAGCAGCAATACATAAATAGCAGAGGCTATTGGGTGGATTGCACAGAGAAACTGATGAACATTGTATTGAAAGCGTTAGAGATAGAAATGCATCTCAGAATAGTACTATCACTGGCAACTTTCATGGTTTGTATCCAACTTTCATAGTTGATGGGATAATATGCAAGTACCTAAAATACATTTTGGAAAGCAGGTAGCTAAAATTACTTCAGCTAGGAAAATATAGTTTATCAAAATATGACTTAAGAATAAGTAAATCATTATTGATCAAGAAAACAAATGACATCAAATAGAATTTGCTACATTCATATAATAGCATTAATAACATTTCTAAGCAACTTTGAAACTGATATTTTATCTTAATAAACAAAGTTATCTTCATGGGTAACTCATAGGCCAACAAAATCAGGCAGAATTTCAGAATAAAATTGCAAAAATAATTATTTTTCATATTGTCATAACAATAAGCTACTTGAAACATTCCTCTGCTTGGAAAAAAGTTCAATGAAATTTCGCATTCCTGAGACAAGATCAATCATACCCTAGATTCAAGCAGGACCTTCAATAACATTTCAAGGTCATGCAAAAGTGAAGGAGATAAAATATTACTACGTATGGTTAGGCATATATGGAATGCTGCTTTTTGGGAGGAAACATATGATGCAAACATAATTTACAAGTGGTATAAATCATTTGTAGAAAATTTTATTGTTTATCTATATTGGAAATTGAGATTTGCTACACAGTAAAGAACCTGCTCCACTTTTTCAAGACAATGCAAGACCATATAGAGCTTCATTTTAACCATCCGAAAAGGGAACAGTTTGATATTCATCACAACAGTAATCATGGATTAGATAACCACATTGAAAATATTTTTCAGAGATAAAATATTCTTTTGGCTCTTTCAGCTGCATTTATTCATAACCCACAGTGAATGATACGAAATGAGTGATATGAAAATACTGATTGAGTTGCCATTTAATGCATCACCCTTTTTTTGCAAGTAAAATCTTTCAGCTATAGAATGAGGAGATTGACTATATAACAGAACAGAAGTTACATAATTTTCAAATTAAAAAGGATACAGATTCTCTTCATCAATGTCTATATCCATTTCCTTCGCAGCATTCATGAACCATCTATTCTGAGCAGTAAGTCTCTTCATTCTGTGTTCTAATTTATCTATAGCATGCACAAGGGTTATTCTGTCTCTGACTGCCTTTAAGATGCTATGATCAACAGGAAACTGTGGTAAAGCCTTGTCTAGAAGTCATAAGAAAATAATATTTAAAATATGAATGATCAAGTCACTAATTATACATCTCAGATTAAATTTTGAAAATAGCATATTATTAAAGGCAGTAATTGATAATACTGCCTTTAATAATATGCTAATTAAAAGTTGAACACAATTTAATTGTTAAATACTGAAAAAAATTCAACCTTTTGAGGCACATATGATTTCAAGTGAAAAGGCTCTGTATATCATAGAAAAATGGATAGTCTTTCTCTTCCATGACACATACACTGATGAGATATATGATATCACTGAGTTACTTAGCATAGCATAAAGAGGCTTCAAATACACTTTCTCATAAATCTAAAGTATGTAACTTTCCACACTATTGCACAATATATTAAAAAACATCCTGTTAAGGATTGCAATATAATTTTAACCCTCATAAAAACTAACAATGAAAAAAATCACTCAGTACACTTTTCATGAATTTAAAAATTCCCAAGTAAGTACAATTCGACAATACACCAAGAATTGTTGTTCCTGGCCAAAAATGCTTCACTAAAATATTTCTGGCTTTACTATCTCACATTCTAAGCTACCACTGAGTAAAAAAAGGTATTTGAAATCAGAACCTGATGATTAGCTTCCCCTTTTCACAATACCTATTATTCCATTTAATATTTGCCCTCACTTTATTAAGTCATATATATTTCATGCCTTTAGAAAGTTTTCATTAAAGTTATGAAATTATTCCCTCCTTTTTTTCAAAATTTATGTAATTCAAATGTACAGGATTATTGTAAAATAAGTGTACAGTTTCAGTAATTTATTAATAGCTGAAAAATAAAAAAAAGGAAATTGAAGATGTGTATGCATGCAAATATGAAGTGTTTTCTGCATTCTATGTGGTAATGCAAGAGAAACCATATGTCTATATAAATCTATAAGTCTCATGATCTTTAATAACTATTATATATGAGTGATAATTCGTTTCAGTCTTTTAAGTACCACACAAATACAGAAAGGGTGTTAAGGACCCTTTTATTTAACTAAGATAAAAAAGAAACAGACGGTTTCATGCTTAGAGAAGCCAACAATTATGACTTAAACCAAAGATAATGGAATAACTAATACAAACAAATTAGCCTAATGGATGCACAAATAGAATAACACACAAGCAGACCCTGACCTAAACTTAACAAGCCTAAAGTTGGGAATAATGCAGAGCTGCAGAACACTAGCAATCAAAGTAGCAACGTGGCCTTCAGGCAAGCAAAATGTGCCTGTGAAGCAGAATTATTCTACTCTCTAAAACCTTCATTAAACTCTCTCTCTTTTCTACCTCATTTGAATAACACAAGAACTAGAAATTTACATTCTGGCAGGAACATGGAAATGAGGGAGATAGGAAAGATAATTACCATATTTGACGGCATATCAGACGCACCCTTATTTAAAAGGCCACACACATATAGATGTAGAAAGTTATGTGTGTCTAGATCTTTATCCAGGCTAAAAATAGCATTCAGTATTGAAAGTTAACCTGTGTTCTTCACGTATAAGACGCAGGTAACTTTTTTGAGACCAAATTTAGGAAAAAAAGTGCGTCTTATATGCCGTCAAATACGGTAATAATTTTAAAGAATTGTATTAATTTTAAAAAGTGAAATTTGATGATTTCATAAACAAAAATTCTTTTGTATTTTCTGCATCATAGTTACATTCTTTATTAATATAATATTCTGAAAAATTAAAACTGAAAGGTATAGTGTAAAAGGATGCTAAATGAGCAATGTATTCTGAAGAAAATTGGGTTCCTTTATCACGTTTTCAAGCATATTTTGAATAATTAAAACTTAAATTGACTTTTATGTAATAACATTTTAAGGTAATAAGAAATATATAATACTGATTAAAAATTATTGTCCTGTAAATAATTTTTATTGCTTTTTAAAAGAATATATATATATATTTATAATTTTAAATCTGATTAAAAAAGGTAGTAACTACTATAAATGAAATTCATTTTAATGTGCTTCTGCAATCAATTATTCATTGAGTAGTTTCTCTTCATGATTGATTAAAATTTTGTTGTTTTTCATTTGTATTTTTAGACTGAACTTCTAGCTTATCACTGGACAACATTCATTTTGAAAGAACAGGTAAAGATTTCAAATTTGAATAGTTGTGAATTGCCTTATTAGTATCTTCCTCCCCTTTCATTTGCACTTAGACTCATTGTAAACTAAACTCTTTGCATATCTTAGCCATCCCCCCATGTAAAACATTAAAAATGAAATTATTTTCATTAAAAACTTAAACCTCTATTAATGTTTTATATTTAATCCTATTGTTATATAATTGTTTCTAATTATATATGTATATATATATAAATGGTTTTTATTTTTATAGTGTGAGCTGCTGCAATTACTTCTTTTGTATTATAAAGATATTGAGCCTACCATTTCGGGTGTTCAAAAAATGCTATTGCTATTCCAGGTACAGATTACTGATAAAATGTCTGTAAATATGCTTTTAAGATGAATATTGATCTGATTTATAATAATAATTTATTGATGTGATTAATAATTTTATTCTCCTGAATTCTCCTTTTGTTTTCTTTTTTAATTTTTTTTTATTAGCATTGGAAAAAGGAGGATTCAGGAGAATGAAATTATTAATTTATTAAACTCATATCAATTAGTGTTGAAATTTACAATTTCAATACACTTCAGTCTTGCAGTTTCAATCTTTTTACACTTTTCTTGATAATTACAATATTATTTAGTTTCTAAAACACAGTTTTCTCATATTTAATTCATAAAAATGAGATACGTTTTAGGATCAGTGGCATCTCAGTATTGTAATTTTTCTAATTTTGACAATATGTAAGGTTTGTTTTTGTGTTATGGAAAACACACACACACACACACACACACACACACACACAAAAAAAAAAAAAAAAAAAAAAAAAAAAAAAAAAAAAAAGTGCAGATTTTATTGAAAGGCAGTCAAAGGAAATGGTATACAAAATGGACCCAACTTACTCTTCAGATAATTGGCAAAATGCTTGTGACATAATATATCACATGTTAAGTCAATTGTCTTGTAGATTTTGAAGAGTAATCAACCACAGTTCAACAGGATTTGGACCATAATTTTAATGAAGCACCCTGCAACTTCTGTTTGAGTATATTATTGCAAGAAATAATAGCATATGTTTCTTATGAATTATGATTAAGCTAGACGTTTTTATTAATATTTTTCTTAATTAGTTATTATGAATTATGCCACTTCAGAATAAGATGCTAAAATTATCAAGCTGAAAATTTAGACTTATACTTTATAGAATCTCCAAGAGAGACTCTTCAGTTGCACATATCATAGAAGTTTGTTGTAAATGGCATGTATTTTCTCAAAGATATAAATCAACTAGTGTTATAAATTTTTTTCATAAAAGATGATTAAATTGATATTATAAAAGCCAAATGCTATTTGATTCGATTTTTAATTGAATACAATGTTCAGTATTGAAATTTAACCTGTGTCCTTCACATATAAGATACAGGTAACTTTTTTGAGACCAAATTTAGGAAAAAAAGTGTGTCTTATATGCCGTCAAATATGGTATCTTTTTCTTGGGGGCTGGGATGTGTTCACTACATTAAAAAAGATTCAACAAAATTTAATTTACTATAGGGATTTAAAATTAGCTTTGCAGAGCAGGAATGCAGAGCAGGAAATGGCAGGCACTATAGTTTTGATTTTCTGAACCTTACTGATTAAAAAGTTGGCTAAATAAATGACTTCAGTATTTTAAAAAGTAGTCTCCATAGGCCACGTGAAAAGGTTAACATAAAATAACTGGTTAGAAACTAAATGCAAACTCTAGAACATAATAAACAAAATGACCCAAGTCTACAGTGGAAAAGGTATACAATTAGGAGATGCAAATAATTACAGTTTGTATAGAATAGATTTTACTTATTTATGAAAAACTTCAATCAGTAAATCAAACGTGCAAGAGTTGGCATCACTGATGATTGTTTTTGTAGATTTTTTTTTTTTTTTTTTAGTTTCGTTAGAAGGTGTCAATTTGTTTTTTTTTGGATAAATACAATATTGCCCACAATTTTTATTTTTGCACAAATAATTCATACAAAATTATTTTGTAGCAATCTTGATTTCATGCTTGGAAATAATTTAGCTTGATTGAAATTTGGCTTGAAACCTAATTAGATTCCATTTTGCAAAATTCTTAAAACACAAAATGTTTTCTTGATGACAGAGGTGACCATTTTGTTTATCAAGTGATACACTACATAATGATCACTTACATCACAACATGGAATGTTGGCAGAAAAATGTTATACTTCAGCACTCCTTTCAATTTAACCACACTACCTTTCTTGGTGATGTTTTTCATTCTAATCATTGAAACTGTACACTTTTTTTGTAACAACTGTATTATTTTTAACAGGTTCATACTATATCAAGATTAATGAAAAGCTGCATACAGTCATCATTGTTTCGCATATAAATTGCTTTGTGATTAAACTTCTATAATTTATTATCCGTCAAACTCTTCACAGTTTATGTTTTTGATTTTAATACATTTCTCTACTGTTTAATTTCACATCAATTTTAATTGATTTTTATCTTGTATTTTATTATAAAATGTTTAAGACCTTGACTTGACAGGGTTCATACACATTTCTGTGCACACAAATTAAGTACTTTTAAGGACCATTAATGGAAAAAATTAAGGACCTATGAGCAAATGCGAACTGAATAAATTTAATCAAAAATATTATCTATGCCTGAACTTCACTTTTGTAATACCATCCTAAAAATAAAATAGATCCGTAAGTAGGATGCATTATTATTAAACATGAATTGACATAATTATTAATAAGTTTGAGAATAAAAATAAACTTTATGAAATTTATCAAGTTAATATACTTTAAGGTTCCAATAAGCCACTAAAGCACCTGTAGGGTTTTCCTCATTTTGCATAACAAAT